AAACTTGCGTACACTACCTCTTTCATTACTATTTATCTTCGTAATTAAATCACAAAGTAATTCTGTTGGAATAAAATTTGCTTAAAATTAACTGAAAAAATATAATTTTGCAACATTATTTGTTTACCGAAATTTAGCTTGCTAATAAAATTTTATTTTTCTGATTTCTCTCTCTCTCCCTTATTTTTATATTTTTTATTATAATTTATCTGTTTTATATCGAAAAACAATTATTTTTATTTTCTATACTTGAGAATTCATTTATGTTATTTTTTCCAGACTCGAATGATAGTTGATGATCGAAGGAACCAATCGATGCGACGCGTAGAAAGCAATTGAAGTACATACATATACTCATATCATGGTGTCACGGATTAAGCTCGAGAGCTATCAATCTAAGTACACATGACCTTACATATTTTAGGTCGGTACGCACTGTACTGGCGGAATGATAAGCGCCATGGAGCCGTTCGGATAGTCCTCGAGCACTGAGCAAAGCGTGCCCAGTGAAACGCAAGTCGACGAAGAGACAAGATTGAAATTGAAAGTGAAGTAATCCAAGTATACGGTGCTCGCAACTTGTTCGCGAATCCTCGGATTCATGTCTTAAAATTTTAAATTAATGAAAAATTGCGCGACACGCGTGACTTCGTCGTGATAATAAAATTTCTCCGAATAATTTGCTTGCTTTTTTCTTTTAATTGAACATAAAGTTGCTAATTTTCTAGGAATCATAAATCGTCAAAGGAAAGATCGCCGTGTGTGTTCGTGTCTTAATATTTTCAAAAGAAAAGATAAGTGAATATTCCCTCTTCGATCATGGAATCCACTACGGAAACCGTTAACGACGTTAGGATCTCCGAGGAAATTGATACCGGCATGGCGAACGGTTTTCACGAGAAAGGTAAAGATCGAATGGATTAATTTTGAGATGCGCGTGTGTGGCATTCCCGATTTCTAGAATAGATTAATTCAATCGTTAAAATACAGAAATTTAAATTTGACAGAATCTTTTGAAAATCTTGTCTTGTATATTTATCTCTTTTCGGTAATCTTTCGAAGTATTTCATCTTCTATTCCAATTAATTTCGATCAAATCTTTCGCTTCTAGTACTTGTTAACGTTTATCAGAAAACTTAAATATTCGAAATTAATTTCTCGTATAATGACGTTTATTGAATTTCGACCAACTATGTTGTTATTTTCACGGAGATCTTATTATATTAAACACAAGCATATTATTCGACGAGCTTTGTTTTGTTTACTCTCTCCTGCTTTGACCTATCGGTTAAAGACTTTTCTATAATTGTGATAACATTTCACTGATAATCTCATGTGTAGATACAAATATATATATATATATGTTTTTTTTCTCGTTCCAGTGGCTAACGGAAATGCGTCCGCGGACAATTTACTGGAGACGATCGCCGATGAATTGCGAAACAGTATGCAGGTGCGAATTGATGACCTCGGCTCGATCGCGATTGGATTTAATGGAATGCGCGAATTAAAGTCACAAAGTTATTTCGAAAATTGTTTTGGTCGAAAGCAAAATGGTATCTGTGAATTATTGCGCTGACATCAAATATCACCGTTAAGATTAAGCATTTTCCGACGTTCCATTGTTTTTCTAAGGCATATATTTCCTTTTTATCTCTCTAAGATACATATTTCTGCAGGAAATGAAGGAAAACGTTTTGGGACAAGTTAACGATCGCATTAACGACATGATAGCCGAGGTTCTACAAGAATTAGAGACATCTCTATCGAAGAGAGAACTATCGTCTAACACGGACAAATATCGCGACAAAAGGTGAAAAATTACATGTTTAAATTAATATAGTACTATAATATTAAAGAAAAAAAAAACGTCTCTTAAATACAAAGTATTTTGCGAAAATGTAAGATAAATATAAAAAAAATAATGCAATAAATATTAATTTAAATTCTTATACATCATTATGCTTATAATATTTGTACTATATTCCGATTGGAAATTTTTCCAAAAAGTATGTAGTTTTATAAGATTATCTATAATCAAGAAGCTACCCAACTCTTTATCTAGTAATTCAATATGGCTCGATCAAAGCTAGGTAATCAATAGTTGGATAAAGGCAAATAAAATTGATTAAAAGATTCTTAAATGCGCCTTTATCATATTTTGTATTTCACGCATAACAAATGTGTTTCTTACAAAAATTATCTATCGGTGTAAAAAGATAAATTTATGGCAATATACTTATTATAAAACGCTTATGCGTTTACATCTTTGATTGTCTTGCATAGACAATCCAGCAAGAAAGGCATACTCCCGGACAAGGAGTTCCTCCCGAGGAACTCGCTGTTCACCAATCTCTTCAAGATCACGCATATTCGCACCGTTTATAATGTATTCATGGTAACTTTCATACTGCTCTGCCTCAACACTATCTGGTACGATATCATGGAATCCGGAACGTAAGTAAATTGTATAACTTTAATATTTGAAGAAAAACGAGAAATTAAAATGTTCCGCAAAAATTTTTTAAGTATTTTTAATATTTTCAATATAATGATGTTTATAGCAATTTGGGCGATATTAATTTTAACGACCGATTCTTGGATCAATCTAGAATTGTTTTCCTTTTAGCGAATATATTGAAGAAAGCTGCCGTCTATCACGCAATTTTTTAATTTTCAATATTATGTATTTTTATAAAACTGTAACTCTCAAATTATATAAAATCATACAAAGATTCTTTATATATAATTATTTATAT